TCGCACAACGCCAAACACTCAAGTAATCTTTCCCCCCGCGCAACAGTCGGGCACGAAGTCCAACTGCCCTCGCCGGGAAAGCGCCAAAGAAAAAGGCCGCCTTCCCGCTTACACGCCACCTGCACCGGCACTGTGGACGGCGCACGCCCTGTCGCATCCGCCCACACGGAGGTGCAGCATAAGCCGCACAGCAGCGCGAGGAGCGCCAGGGCGCACACCGCACTGCGCCGCACCATCAGCATCGTCGCCATCCGCCGCAGTAGAGTGAGAGTAGAGTCGCTGGGCTGCGAGGCAGCGAGGAAGGGAGGGATAAGCAGGAGGAGGGGGAAAACAAATAGAGTACAGCGCAGAGAAATCAGATGGAAATAACAAAAAAAGGCGGCAGCCCACCGAGTGTACGCAGCGGGAAAACACGCAGCCACAACACAACACTGCCAGCAGCGGGCAGAAAAGATTCATCCACGTGCACTGCAATTTAGATTTACCATGCGGTTGTGTGTGTGTGCGCCTGCAGACCCGAAACACAAATAAAGGAGGAAAACACAGCCCGCGGGAGGGGGAACACACACACACACACGCAGCAGCAATGCGGTACGGAAGGAGGAGGATTAGTGCTCGAGCCGGTACTGCAGCCCAGGCAGCGGCAACTCACTGAGCACGTGGTGAAACGAAAAGCACACACACAAAAAAAGGAATTAATATACTTTTTCATTCACGTACTCTTCAACCGAAAAGCAAACAATTACGGTGCGCAGACTTCGCCCGCAGGGAAAAAAGGAGACACATTTATTTCGTCCCAATTTGTCCTTCCTCACCTCAACTCACCATCGACGGTGCGTTGCGTTGCTTTTCTCCATCCACTCACCGCAGCAACAGCAGCAGCGCACAGAGTGCCGTTGCGTGTGTGTGGGGGGGAGAGGGAAAAGGATGCGCACAGCCGTGGGATGCTCCCGCCCCGTCACGGGAGGAGCGCGGCAGGCAACGGATGGGCGAAATCGCGAAGCAAAAGGGGAGGTGGCCCCAGAGGAATTACCTCCAAAGCAAGAAGAAACAAAAGCAAAAAAAAAAAAAAGTAAACTGCCCTCCGCAAAAAGGAATTTATTCCCGGCGGTGTGTGTGTGTGTGTGGCTGTGCGGGAGACGGCGCACATGCCCCGCAGTGAAGCCGCACGCGCCTCTCACAGAGCCGCAAAGGCCCACAGCCCCAACAGAAGCAGCGGCGGCAGCACTCGGCGCCCACACACAGCGTCTTCCTCGGCGTTGCGCTTCTGCAGCAGACCCCCGCTGCTGCTGCTGTTGCTCTCGTTGTGGGGTGCGGGGACGGATGCCGCATCTCTGGCCGCCGCGGCTTCTGCACGGGCTTCTCCCGCCGCACCAGCTCCCCGGCCCTGTTCTGCCGCACCGCCTGCCGCGCCCATTGCTTCTGTGCGGCTCCCCTCCTTCGCCGCCCCAGCGGGAGCGGCTGCGCCCGACGACGACACACCGCGTTGCCCCTGAGGGACGGCAGCCGCGGCCTCTTCCCCTGTCGTCGCCCCGTTTTCAGCAGAACTCACGCTGCTCGTCTGCGCCGAGGGAACTGCCTCCGCAGCGACAGCACGTGCTTGCCCGCTTTCATCGCGTCGCTCTGCGCCGTTGGCGGGGCCACCAGTGTGCTGCACACCGCCTGGTTTGCCTGCATCCACGTTGCTCGCCGCCTCTTCACGCGACGCATGTCCTGCGCCCAGGCGCAGCGAGAGGGAATGCGGCCCCACAAGCACCGCGCCAGGGACACCGCCGCTGTGAAGGTGCGAAAAGGCAGGGTTCTGGAGATTCTGCTCGGCCTGAGGGACAACAGCAGGACGAGGAGAACGGGGGACGCTCGTTTGGGAAGGCGCAGGAACCCTTTCACTGCTGAGAGAGGGACCGGCAATGTCTGGCTGCGAATGCGCGGCAGCAGCGTGAGAGTACTGCGTTCGAGGAGCACAAGGTGCATCCGGCTTCTCCGAATCCTTCACTTCACACGGAGCGGAAGGAGTGCCAACTGTGTGGTTGCCCTCCCGCGAGCCAGAATGAGCAGAATGAGAAGAGGCGGGAGGAGATACACCGCCAGCACTCACCGCTCCATCAAAAGCCGCTGGTGGGCCACCGTCTTCAGCCGCCCCGGGGGTTCCATCAGCCGCGTGCGGTTGACCAGCGACGCCCCCGGCGTAGGGCACGCAGGGAGTTTTAGCGGCCTCAGAGACGGACGCAGCACAGTTCTTCAGACAACATGGGACGGCGGTGGAAACACCCCTGTGCGGAGCAACGGGAGGAAGAGGAGAGCCAGGCGCTGCGGGCACTTGAGTTGGAGCGCCCACGACGGCCCTGCCGACAACGGGAGGAGCATCCCAGCGATGCGAAAGCTCCCCGCCCCAACGCTGAAACTCGGCCTGCGCAACGCCTCCACTCGCAAGATCGCCGTCTTTCGCGTTCGCAGTCGCCCCGCAGACGGAGGCGCAGCAGCAGCCGCAGAGCAGCGCGAGGAGCGCCAGGGCGCACACCGCACGGTGCCGCAGCGTCATTGCCATCCGTAAAAACAGTGGTGGTGGTGGTGGTAAAAGAGCCGCAGCAGAGCCAGTGGGCTGCGAGGCAGCGAAGAAGAAGAAACAGAGAGAGAAATGGGGAGCGCGGTGGGGTACGGCGCAGAGAGCGAGAGCAGGGAGAGGGAAGGAATAAAAAGGCGGCAGCCCACTAAGTTCACGCAGCAGCGCCCTGCAGCCGCGCGAAAAATGAATTTATTCCGTCCCGCCCCACGCAGATGTCTTTGATGGTGCCAGGGCATTTAGAAGGAACACAACGTGAAACCAAGACACAGTGCTGCTGCGAGGCCACGGGGCACGGCGCCTCCTTCTCCCCGCAGCAGCGCAGCCCGCGGCTGTGCCTCGTGCCCGCAGGTAAA